TCTATCTATCTATCTATCTAGTATTGCAGAACTCAACTAATGATTAAACGGTAGACTAGTTGGAGTCTCCTCAAAAGCTAAGTAGAAAAGCAGCTTAACTTACAACTCTTCCATTGTTGAGGCTAAGGGAATCATAACAGCTATTGTAAATGCCAAGACCAGACATTTAAGAAGGTGGTGGGTACCAACTCCCCTAAATCTAACAGTTAAAGATGGAAATTTATGGCCTGCCTCATTGATTGTGTTAACAGTCCAGCTCACTGCTGATTTTGTGTGTCTATGTTTCTTTGGACGCTGTAAGTCTCCTGATACCAGTTAGTCATTGTCTGAATTAGTCAACCTGTCCAAAGCCTGTCTCTGTATATCAAAGCTAAATATCATCGTGCAAGAATAAAATTGAAAGACTGCCGAAACAATAAAAGGTAACAACTATAAAACTTTGTCATGAGCCTGATTTTAAACGAATATACAAAATATTCCGTTTCAGCCTTTCTGTTATAATAACTTTCCACAGAACAAAACAAAAGACAACCTGCTTAAAAAGTTCAAAGGATATTAATCACAATGTGTATGTTGTCGTCTGATTTATATTTATTGCTCCACCAGCAGGAAGAATGACGCCATGTTTCCGTATACTCTCAGCAGCTGCTTTAGCCATTCAGAGCTGCTGCCGAATGTGGCTTTGAACAGCCAGTCTGTCAAATATTAACCAGCTTTAGTTGTTAACCTCACAGGGGAGACCCAGGCAGTTATATCATTTAATATTTGAATCATATAATACAATGTGATCAGCTACTGCTTTCATGTTGTCAGCCATGTCATAGAACATTTATGCAGTTGGATGTATTTGCTTTTATTATTTAAAACAGCTTTTCTTAGAACAATGTTAGAAGACAGCTGGTTTATTGTCATTTTTTACAAATTGGAAACATTTTACCCACTTTGATGATCTGAGGGGTAAAAAAAAAAGTCCTATAGCATTAATGATATGCTGCAAAAATGTCCAGGGTTTGAGTCCCAGCATGGAATCTCTGTATTCATTGAGTCCTTTACATACTTTTGCTTCTTCCCACAGTCCAAGCATATACATGTTGTGTTATTTGATATATCTATTTTTCTCTTAGGTATAACTTAGAATAGGAAAAGTGCCAGGGTTCCTGTGTGTTACTGAGTGTGAGTTATGCATCTCTTCCAGAGAGGATCTTTGAGTAGCCTACACAGGTGAAGATAATCTTTCTAATCAGAGTGCTGGGCTTAAAAGAGCAGCAGAGGCTTCACTCAATGCTGGTTTCTTGTGTTGTTAGTGTTGTTTCATTGCTTTTAGTCTCTTGCTTCCCTCAAGTATTTTCCCTGACGTTAATTGGTTTTTGTTTGGTTTTCGGTATTTTTTCGTTTTTTGGATTTTTGCCTCTGTTCCCCTGGGACTTTAATTAAATCATTAAATCATCCAAACTCATCTGTGCCTAATCCGCTCTGCATTTGTGTCCTCAAAACCACCACCCAACCTGACAAACAGTCTTTATAGTTCTACGAGTGGAAAAAGTCACTTATTTTATATTGAAATCAAAGCAAACAAGACTAAAACAAATCTGAGAAGGAAAAAATTAAAATGATAAAAATATGTTAGGTGTTAGATTTCTGCATACACGGTTTTCTGTCAAATCTCATTCTTATTAGTTAACCCATTTGAAATCATAGCTAATTATATGTACAAGAATGGTAAAGCATGATCGTTTATTACTGAAACTATAACCAATTCCAGGCAGAAAGGAACCATCAACAGGTAGGATATTTTTTTGATAATTTTGTAACTGAACATTTTCAAAAGAGGGAATAAAAGAGGGAATGCACTTGTATCAACACAACTAAGATTTCCATTTTTATCAGATTATCTTACATGTGCATTTCCCTCAGTCCTCTAAGTTTAATCCATGTCATTATGTATAATTTGCTCATTTTAAATATAGGGGCATTTCAAAAACTTTAATATGGAAACTTTGTCATATTAATTACATCATATCCTGTAAATAAAGGCTCTAATTTGACTTAAATAACCAACAGCTACAAAATAATCTGCCAAAAATGTGGGGCTTTAGCCTGCTTGATTCTGCACCCGTGTGTAAACTTGGTGTAGGCAACAGAGCACTCTTTCAAATGTACAGTTTTCATGGGGTTCTTTGGCCGACATGCAACACTGGCAAGCCCATAGACGGCTAATTATCCCCATTTGGGTAAATTGCATCTTACTAAGGTCTGCTAAGCTAACATTGAAATTAAGGTGAGCTTTGATGTGTAATTTTGGTTCTCTTCCAGGTGGAAAGTTCTTGGGGTAAAGAAGAGGAAAGAGGGAATCACCCATGAAGAGTCTTACTGAAACAAAGTGACATCTGACAGATCCCTGTCTTCAATACAATGAAAGTCTGAAAGTTAAGAAGATAAGGTCTACATCAGAGAGCCCAGTTTCTTGAAACTGTCCAAAAGCTTTCATTTCCCTTCTCCTTTCACAAACCTTTGGAATGGATCCCGGTCTATTCCCCCAAATGTCTCCCCTCTTAACATCCTTCATTCTGATTCTTCTGGCTGGACCAGCAGTTCTGAACCCATCAGCCTCCAGGGAGTTACAGGTCAGGACACCAAGGGATGCTGAAAAGGACTCATTCAAGGTGATTAAAGTTACTTTGCTGATTTATCAATGACCACAGAAGTACAGCAGTGTTTAAATTATTTAAAAATGTCAGGAATGATTCCTTTTCTGGCTAAAATAGCTTTCTGTCAGTTTTCATATTGCAAAGAAATTCATTAAATATAGTGGAAATTTTGCAGGAATTTATGTCAAGAAACAAGCCATTCACTAAATTTACTAATAGTTATATATATATATATATATATATATATATATATATATATATATATATATATATATATATATATATATATATATATATTTCACCATTTTTCATCATTTCTCTCTTTTCAAATACCAGCTTCCCACTTTACAACTCAAGCTTTACTTTTTATAAGTGGGGCTAATAATGTTGTTAATCTATACAGTAAAACCTTTAAGCAGCTGCTCCTGCGCCTATTAATTCCTCATTGTAGTTGCAGAACCAGACCATAAAATGTGCAGAGTCAATCAGTTTCCTAATACCAAGCCCAAATGTGTCATTTGGAGTTGTGTGTGCTTTTCTCCAGCTGGGCATTCTATTCCATGGGGAGCTCAGGGCATTCTGATCTCTTTATATACGGGACCTGGTCAAGACACTACATTTATTTGTATTGAGTTTGTGGAATTGTTCCAGAACACCATGTGGAGTTACAGAGAACTACTCCGAGCTCTACCAGCCCAATGTTCCCGAGATGAGTTGACGGCATTTTACATTATCCTGGCATAGCCAGTGTTACTTCAGATTATTTAATAACCTACGCTGTCACTGTTACTACCAGTCTCTTACACATCACACCCTAGGTGCATGTGTTCTTCCACTAAGATAAGAAACCATCACAATCTCACCAGAGAGGATTAAAATATTGGGTAATGCTCACATTCCACTGCCTGTGTTAGGGAGTGCACTTGATATTTGCCAGACGACCTTTTGAAATCTCTGTAAAGACCATCCATATTTAGGTTGATTTATAAAGTCATGGTGTGGTGTAAGTCTGGTGTGAAGAGGCCTTTGATTGGTTTTGTGAAAAAAAATAGCACAGCAAGGTTGTATAGTAAAGGTATAGTGGTGGATGCTCTTTTTCCAGCCGGATCATCAAAGTAAGTGGTCCTCCTAATTTTCAATCATTCTGGTGATATGTTTACGTTGGGCTGTCCTATGTGCTCATCCCCAGGTAGCTATCTTACCAGTGGTGAGTCTGACATAGTGGGAAAATTCCAAATCTTCTTTTGGAACTTAAGCTGGTATAAACAATGCAAACAGCAACTTTTAAACAGAGCGTGCATGAAGAGAAATGCGCTTGTGCATGCTCTTGCACATGTTTAATAGGCGTTCCCTCTCAGCTGCAGGTACAGGGTGGTGCATCCGCATTCTTTTTTAAGTGGAAAGGGCGGGTCTTTTGAAAAATTCATGAAAATCCTCCACTATACCTCTAAGTTCCAGGTAAAACCACAAATACAAACTAAATAACTAACTACTAAACAGGCAAAATAATCATCTCTCAGTGGTTGGATGAAAATTGTTCATCTTTGAACTCTTCAGAATCAATTTTGAGGTATTTTTTATTCAGACAAAAGTCCGTGGACAACTTCCAGATGCAAATGAATCAAAATGCAGTGCAAAAGAAGAAGAGTAATTCAAATGTCTAGGAGTTGCCTTGAATTCCCATATTAAATTTACAGATTATATGAAGAAAATAACTCTGGCTTCCTCCCACAGTCCAAAAACATGACTGTTAGGTTAATTGGTTTCTATAAATTCTCCTTAGGTGTGAGTGTGTGTGTGTGTGCATAGTTGTGTGTCTTTGTGTGTTTCTGTGTTGCCCTGCAACAGACTGGTGACCTGTTCAGGGTAAACGCCACCTCTCACCCATAGACTGTCAGAGATAGGCACTGGCCCCACCTGGACCCTGAAAAGGACTAAGTGGGAGAAAATGAATGGATGGAGAAAATTACAAAGAGTATAGGGACTAATTTAAATGTGTTTTCACCAAGATCTTGCTTGTTGATAAATTAAGCCATTGTTCTCAAATGCAGTGATCCCATCACATTTTTTATACTATATGAGTGCCGGGGTTCAGGTGAATTCACTGTACAAACAATCCTTAAATGTGCTTGACCGAAACCTCTTGATCGCTTGGCCCTACTGCAAATTTCAGGAAAAGCACTATATACTAAGTTCTGAAAATGTTTTCTTTTTTATTTTCCAGCTTTTAATGTCATTACACTGTCACAGGTACAAAGCAACAAAATAAACTCTCTGCATTTAACCCATCCCCTTGGGAAACAGTGGGCTGCAATTGTGCGGCGCCCGGGCAGCAGTGTGGGGTTAAGGGTCTTGCTCAGGGACCCAGAGTGACAGTCTGCAAGAGAGGGGCTTAGACTCAGAACCTCTAGATTCCAAGCACAATGCCCTAACCACTAGGCCGTCACACACCCGCTTGTTGGGGTGCTCTTTTAACAGAGCAAGTTCCACATATCTGAAAAGATTTAATGGTCAAATCAAACAATGAAATAAAATCAAGCCTAACTGAAATTGGTATAGTATCCTCATTGCTGTTTTTATTCCTTTTACTCTTATGATAGCGAAATCTCTTTTTATGCATTAAGGAACAGGTCTGTAAATTAGCAATTAGCCACATGGCCTATAATGAGTATGGGATTGGTTACTGTAACAATGCTTTTTGTTCTGTCCCTATCAGATAAACATAGAAAATAGTGCTCTTGATTTTAGCGCACCCAAATACTTCACAAAGAGATGCAATGGATGATGCATTATAAAAAAGATACAATAAATCAAAATAAGGGTGCTGTCTTCCAAAATGTCTTTCCTTTATTTCCCACTATGATTGATGTAATAAATTCTTACTATAAACTAAATATGTCCAGCTATGGGGTGACCTGGTGAACAAAGTGGGATTACTTGCCTTGTCTTTTGCTGTTGTTCCTTCAGGTCGTGATCTCAGAGGGATGCTCCTCTCAGGGAGATTCGTCTGATATAAGCCAAGGAGGTAATACACATGGATTTGGCTAAACACATAAATCAACTATATGTTTTACAGCTACATTGCAGAAATACAAGTGTTAGATATTAGCTATTTTTATTGTTGCTTTTCCTGCTGACAGTATTGTTTTTTCATTGCCCATTTTTTCCCCTCAGGTAAAGAGATTGATCTGGTGCCTGGCTCTCCTCTGGTGCTGACCCATAAGATCAAACTGGTTCCATCAGGGTCAGGTTCTGGGTCTTGTGGATGTGACGGCGACTTTGCTGCCCTTCGGGAGCGATTGGAAAGTCTAGAGCGAGAGGTGTCTGACCTTCGGGAGAAGTGTGGAGAAACAGGAGGAAGCTGCTGTACCTCAGAAAGCAAAGGTAATGTTGGGTCACTGTTAAAGGTTCAAGGTTTAATTCCACTTTTTATTATGATTTTTCTGTTAAAGGAAAATGTATTTGGTTGGAGAACATGTTTTATATATAATAAGACAAAGCATGACAAAGAATTTGTTTATTTCATCTTAAACCTTAGTGTCATATGATAAAAAAGTCTCCCAAAGAGAATCGGTTTCTACCTTTTTTTACCCAGTCAGGAGAAGAATTCGTCCATTCCAAAAGCATTATGACCTGTTGAAAATACTTCATAAAATATCTGCCAGGATTTAGCTCCGGGCAGCAAACTTTTCCATCTTGGCATCAAAATAAAATTAAGTCCAAGATTAAACAACGACTGAAAGCTAATCCTATACAAATCTTTCTCAGCATCCTCACTGCAATCATTACATAAACAAACATAGTTTGTAGATTTTTTGCATGTTGATAGAAAAGCTCCTTGCACAAAACACTAACATTAGTGCCTCAGCACATGAACACATTCAGATAATTAGTCAAATAGATCAATGTCTAAACAAATAAACTGAGAACTACCCCAATGACAAGTTTCACCTCAGAACTGTTTCTATAAATTGCCACTGGACTGATTTACTCATGATCAATTTCAGTAACTATAGCAGGTTTTCAGTATTTTTTTTTAGTATCGTATGTTCTCTATATATAACCTTTAGTTTTTTCTTAGTTTTTTTGACATTTTGCTACATCAACCTTGCAGTGGTTTTTACTATGGGTGTAATGTTCCTCTCTGTTGAGGGCATCATGGTCTGCAACTCTTCCAAAATACAGCTTTGACAGTTATGCAGATGTTATGCAGTTAAGCAGTTATGCAGATACAAGACGTTCACATATCTTGTAATTGCATGTTTAGTCATGGTGGAACACCCACCCCTATGGTGATCTGGGAAAGAGCCGCAATAGAATATGGCATGTTAATGTTGCTCAGCTTTGGTTCTCATTAGATTTGATGAATTAAAGGCTTATTTCACTTTTTTTTTCCTAAAATTACTTCAACAATATTTGGTAGAAAACAACAAAGAAATTGGTTTATCAATGACACAAGAAAGCAAATCTGTATTCACTATATAGTCAGTTTTTTAAGATCATATACTGATCTAGGTTTAAAATGCTGTTATATTTAGTCAAAATGAACATTTCTTTATGGGTTTCTTTATGGATGTTTAATGGTTTAAGAGTAGAATGTTTATAATATAGAGGAAAAAGTCAACTTTTGACATAAACTCTTAGTGAAACATCTGACTGAACACATTATAAACTGCCAGCAACCAAGCTATGTTCTAATAGGTCTAAAGCTCTGATTATTACCCAATTTGCTTAGTTTCTTCTCAGAAGGAAAAGTTTTATTAAGTTATAGTTTGGGTTTGAGTGAGTCATCAGGAAACAGATGTTAGTAAATGTACTACGTAGCTAAGGAAACACAACAGGATATGTTACTATGTGTGTCGAGGGTATGTATGTTACCCATCAGTTCTTTGCCCACTGTGATCTTAATCTCATCCCACATTAGTGGAGTCCCTCCGCCCTGAGTTTAAACAGCAGATAGACACATACAGAAGGGTCCCATTACATGAAACAAGGTTTTATAAAGCCTAGTAGGAGATATCAGACCTCAACCCATCCAGAAAAATTCAAAAGCAAGAAAAAAAAAAACCTCATCAAGACACATTTTTACTGATCTTCATCCAAACAGAACTATAATCCTACATTTTCAGCTAGTTTATTGGTCAGTGAGGGATGAAAAAAATAAATACTGGTTTTAAGCTTCATATAAGAAACTAAATTAATCATTTTTATTACATTTTAACAACTGAAATATAATCACTTACTTATCTCCCTTCCACATTTATAGCCCAGGTAATGTTAGTAAAAAGCCTTACCTATATATGATATTGTTTTATATCTATATTTATCTTATAAGCAGTGTTCTGTGGTCTTTAATGGAGCTATTCTAGGTTTGATTCCCGCCCCCAAGTCAATTATTGCGTTTCCCTTATCTGCCTTTCAACCTGTCAAACAAATTATAAATACAATCTATTGTATAAAAATATGATAACATTTATACAAGGTTAAAAAAAATCATACATTATCATATATATTAAATATAAATATATGCTTTTCTACAAAATCTTTATTGATATTCTAAGTGAATTACGAGTTTATTCCTATGAATAAATTTTACTGAATTGATCATGAAATAAATGTACAGACCAATGTTTTTTAGGCAGTTTTAGGACAACTGTACAAAGCTTTCAACTAAAAATATCTCAATAAATCAGTGAATGGCATCAACACAATTGCTACAAAATGTTACTCAACAACATTTTTTTAGATCAGGAGCTAATAGGCCACCTATTTAAGCCAATATTGAAGAATACTCATCCAGCATGTGCCAGCCTACTTCCAAGTGTCACATCCTGCTTCAGCCTGCAAAATAGTCACTGAATGTTACATGTGGCAACTAGCCTCAACAACCCATAACTTGTTAATGGCTGCTTTTCCCTACAATGTGCACTTGGTGTCTGTGCTAGAAAGATTTTAGTGACTAGGAATGAGTCCGAAGGGTGTTGTTTTAACATAGTTAGGCTGGCAGCCCTTAACAACCTCTTAATTATTTATGAACCATACACCCATTTTACCCACTTAAAGAACTCGACAATAAAAATAACTCAAAGAACTGAATCTCCAGATACTCTCTAGAATTTATATGCTTCTTTAACCAGCAAAGTTTTTGACAAGGTTTTTGACAATTCCGCATTCATAAATAATTAAATCATAAATTTTAACTGATCTAATCAACTTAACTCTTCCTAAATGCTGTCACCATGAAACTCTAAGGCCTAAGAGAGCAAATGACTCTTTAAACCCCATACAGAATGGCACTCATAACTAATAACTTTGTAGATTTCTTGGATGAATAAAAGTGTTCAGATTTCCGAGGTGTTAAGGATACGGAATCCATCTCAGAGTCTCAAAAGCTCTGAGGAACCGTTAAAGCTTAGGAGCAGCTCATCAATTCAGTTAAAAGCGTGCAGTCTTGTGTTATTGGCTGCTCATTACAAGGTCAAGTTCTCCCAAGCTTGTAGCATTCCCAAGCATCCAGGCAGTTGAAGTTTAAAAGTTTTTTTAAACAGCTTAAACTGTTTGTTTTTTCCTGACCAGCGCTCAGTTCTAAGTCATTATGTTTTAGTTTTTTTTTTATTTCAAAGCTACTGAAGAAAGGAGCCCAATCTTAAACTATACCTTTCTTAATAATTAATCCTATATGGAAGCTCCACACCCCTCCTTCTTCTATTCCAGTGTGGACTTGTCATCTGGCCCAAATAAGAAACCCTGTTCTTCTCTTACTCTGCTCAGGTTTTATTACAATATCCTGGATTAGTCATATTTTGGCATTCTGCCCACTAAGATGATCATTTTATAATGTGTAAAATTCTTTATTATTTGTGCTTTTAGGCCTGGAGAATCTAATAGCATGTTGTTAGGGCTAGTTCCATCTGCTCAACCTCTCCCTAACCCTTAAGATATAAGCTTAAAGTTCAGATTTTTTACAATTAATATTTTTTACATCAAAGGAAATCATAGGAAGGATTAGAGGAGAGTCAACACAGGCTTCCATTTTAGGTTTTGGTGCTTAGATTAACTTAATGTTATTATTCTTTAATCTTTCATTAGAGGTCTTAGCTACAACTGATAACACATCTTTCTCATTTAACATAGTACACATAAACTAAAACAATTTTTTTTATGTTGAATTACTATCTACGTCATTTCACTATTTAATCAGCTATGTAGAAAAAAAAACCTTTGTCTGGATCTCTCCCTCTCCTTTAGGTGCTGGCTGCTTGATAAAACCAGAAAACGGTGAATGTCCCAATGAGTGCAGTGATCAGGGCCGCTGTGTGGATGGCAAATGCGTCTGCTTCCCGGGCTACACCGGGCCAGACTGCAGCGAGTCCGGCTGTCCTGGAAATTGTAACGATCATGGGAGATGCGTGAACGGGGAGTGTGTGTGCGACTCTGGTTTCTCTGGTCCCGACTGCACCCAAAAGGCCTGTCCAGACAACTGCAACAGTCATGGGAGGTGTGTGAACGGCCAGTGTGTATGCGACACTGGTTTCACAGGTCCAAGCTGTTCGGAAGAATCTTGCCCCAGAAACTGCAACAGAAGGGGCCGCTGTACCAATGGGAAGTGTGTGTGTAATGCTGGATTTACAGGTGCAGACTGCTCCAAAAAGGCCTGTCCGGGAAACTGCAACAATCATGGCAGATGTGTTAATGGGAAATGTGTTTGTGACACTGGCTTTGCTGGTCCTGACTGCTCTAAGATCATCTGTCCTGAAAACTGCAACAACAAGGGCCGCTGCGTTGATGGACAATGTGTCTGTAATGAGGGCTTCGCTGGAGCAGACTGCTCTGAGGTCGCCTGTCCTGGAAACTGCAACAACAGAGGACAGTGTATAAACGGACAGTGTGTTTGTGACGACGGATTTACAGGCAAGGACTGCCTGGAAAAAGCATGCCTTAATGACTGTAACAACCGAGGGAGATGCGTAGATGGAAATTGTGTCTGCGACAGTCCCTTCACCGGTTCTGACTGCAATGAGATCACCTGTCCAGGAAACTGCAACGACAGAGGACAGTGTGTAAATGGACAGTGTGTCTGTGACGATGGTTTCACTGGTGCAGAATGCTCTGAAAGAACCTGCCCTAACAGCTGCAGCAATCATGGGAGATGTGTTGATGGCCAATGTGTCTGTGAGAGTGACTTCACCGGTGATGACTGTTCAGAGTCCGCTTGTCCAGAGAACTGCAATGACAGGGGACGCTGCATTGATGGACAATGTGTCTGCTATGAGGGGTTCACTGGTGCAGACTGCTCTGAACAAGCTTGTCCCAATAACTGCAACAACAATGGAAGGTGTGTGGATGGGGAGTGTGTTTGCGATGTCGGGTTCACAGGACCAGACTGTGCTGTCATAGGCTGTCCCAATGACTGCAGCAACAAAGGGCGGTGCATCAAAGGAAGGTGTGCTTGTCGGCGAGGATTTACTGGACCGGACTGCAGCCAGTGTAAAGATGGCATGACTGGGCCAAACTGTAATACTGGTGAGTAGCTGATGATGTCACAATCTACAGTAGCCCTGCAGATGTCCTATATACATTGATTCTTTTAATAAGTGATCTTTTTCTCCAGGTGTTCTTTACACACATGAACTGTTACTCTCAGGGGTCCAGAGAATCATTATGGGAAAATATTGTTTTTTTATTATTATTATTATTGTTATTTTAGTTGGCTGTATTTGTCCTTTGAAAAAAAAATCTAATTACTTTGTGTAAAGTCAAACTAAACAAAATTGTTCACTCTTTTTGTTTTTTGTTATCTACAACCTTACTCATAGCAAGGGGAGCAAATAGAGCGTATTTTGAAATTCCTGTTTACTTCTGTTCCATTATAAAGCTATTTGCAGAATCATCCAGGTTATTTTGTTCCATTATAGTGTTGCTTTCTTGCTCTTGTTTTCAAGCGGGGTTGCCAGGGTGTGTAAGCACATTAGCTCCTCTGTCCTAAAGCCAATTCGAGCTGCATTCATTCCACTGACAGAACCGTTTCATTAATTGTGGAATGAAACCAAGACCCACTGGCCATAAAATTGCTTCATACTCTTGTGTAATGCGTTTCTGTTATGCCCGAGTCTGATACAAGACAAACATGTGTTTCAGAGTGGTAAGTGCTTTCCCAAATGTATCCAACCATTCACAGGACCTGAAGGAAGGATGCCCCATAATTTGAAATCCTCTGGTGGAAAAGCTAAGTGGGTAGAAAAAAAAAAACAATTTCCATGCAGCGTTCTGTGTCTGGAATTTGTGCAAAAATACTTCATTCAAAGAGGAGTCAAATTAATACTTGACCAACTTAGAAGACCTTAGGGCCTTTACAAATTTTCAAATTTATTCCTGACTTTTGCACGAAAATCTTAACCTTGTCCATGTGTGTCTTTTTTATTTGTAAGAAAACATTAAATAATATGCATTATACAGTATAAATATACTTGCAAAACAACAGGCAGTACAAGACAAGTGGACCTAGTTTTTCCTCAACATACAGTGGAGTTGTAAGTACGGTCTCAAATGTATTTTTAGCTTGTTGAAAACAGAACTTCTTGTCAAATTAGAATGTTTTTTTGGTATAATTTACAGATTTGCATTTTATTTTGGTGCAACAGTACCAGTTTGAAAATGAAACAAGAAGAAACAATACCAAAACACGAAATCAGTTCATAACCCTTGTTTTATAAAGAACTTTTGATTTTTAGGATTTTTGGAGCTACAGTGTGCAGTAGCAGTTCTCTCCAACCATTGCCAACAACTTAAGACAAAAAAAAATGCATGGAATAAATCGCATGCTTGTCCGACACAAATGGTCTGTCCTTATAACGTACTTCTTCAAGTCAGAAGACTACACCAAAGCCCTTTACACTACATTCAGTCATTCACCTATTCACTCACACACTGATGGTGGCGAGCTACCTGACAAGCTCACTGACAGAAAAGAGGCTGCTGTAAACTGGTGCCACCAGTCGCTCTGAACAACATCATTAGGCATTGCGGTTGAAGTGTATTTCCCATAACCAGACGACACTGAAAACCGGAGCCAGGGGTTGAACTGACAGCCCTCCAGTTGCAGGGCAAACTCCTGCATCCAGCATCACTTGCACTACGTCATGTATAAATTAGTTTCCTTATTCTGAGCGTCAGTTGGGGGACAGATGCTTAACAAACTCCTAAATTACTAAATATTTGATTAAATTAAATTTATTGATTTGATCTTTTTTTCTGTTCCCTTTACAACTGTCCATTTGGCCGATGTCAAAAACGACCACTGACTTTTCATTTATAGCTGATCTAAATCTTGTTAAAATGTGACATTTTTCTAGATGGATGGGTAGAAGAGAGTTCAGGTCCAGGTGTTAGATCTCTGTAAAGCCATCTTTACCACATAGAGAGGCTTATAAAAACCCTCACATCAAGCAATAAAGAACTGGTCTTTAAAAATGAACAAAAGCAGTTAGCATATACACACATGGGAGTCCTATTGCACTAACTTTGTTTTGGAATTTACTAGGAATGTATAAAGTTAAAATAGAGATACAGCATTCTCTTGTTAAATACGTTGGTGACAATTTGTCGATTTTGTATGTATAGCTGTTTAAACAACTAAAGGAATTTAATTATTTCTTGCGTTCCAGTAAAATACACTGCCTCCATTTGATTCCTTCACTCCCTAAACTGTAATAAGTAGCAGTTGGAAATGTACGGACTTTTTTCCTGCTTTTACCCCTTCTGCAGAAACTTTGTCTAAATTACCATCTGGTTGCTTTTTAAAAAAGAATCGTGTTTAAAGGAATCAATACACTGGAGAATGATAAAGAGGTGCTTTCAGAGCAAAGGTAGTAGAAGGTTTCTGTGGAACACGTGTGTGATTTGCATGATGGATTTGGGTAATTGCCTACAGGAATATTACATCATGCCCCCTGTGAGTGGTGAGTTTTTTTGCTCTACTTTTATGAGAGCCCTGTTTCAGTAAAACGGGTCTGTGAATTATTATCTCAGCAAGCCATCATTGTGTCCAGTAATGCATAAGCAGGGTGGCTCCACTCTGGAGAGATCCTTAATTTAAGAATGCACGAATGTTGTAAAATAGACCAAATTACAGTTATAAACAGCTGCGTAGGCTTTAGTTTACATGTTCACTGTTTTCTCTAAAGGTGTGTGAATAATTTACACACCAATATAGCTTTCCCCTGACAAGTGAATATAACTAAAAGGAAATGAGCCAGCATGATTCTGCTGAACTCTTGATACTTGGCAAAAAGCCTTTTTTCCAAATGATACGTACCACGATGCACCACTGTAGGTATTATGTTTGCACTAGAAAGCTATCCATGTATTTTTTGCAAAATTTTACAATATATCTTGATAAACTATTAACCCAAATCTGGGCTGTTTAAATTACTACTCTAAGACAGCCAGACTCATTTTGTAAAGCTTGATGTTTTTTTGTTTTTTTTGCATTCTATTTGCATCATGTAGTTTGAATTCCCCACATCCTCTACCTCATAATATAGTGCATGTGTTTCTCAGATTCACAAAAATATATCTTACTTTTAATGTGCTGCTAGACATCCCCCCTCGTTCTGCAGTAACCCTACCGTACATGTGCAATTTGGAGTTGTGTGCAATCATCTCCAAAAAAGTACGTAATTTTGTCCCTGTATTTATAGGCATGGAGATCAAAGATTTATGATTTCTGCTTCTTGCTGACATCCTTTTTGTTGCAGCCAGCTTAGCGGCAGTATTGATATTATTTACTTGGAGCATTGTCAGGCAGGCATTGGCCTAAAAAAACTTTAGCTTTATGATTAGGAAGATATTGCAGGTCCTGCTTTAAAATATCCAATTTATCCACGGAGGTGAATGTTGAACACAAAACCCTCCAGGTGTTAAAAAGTGTATGTGCATTTGAAATGTCTTTCCAGATTTCACCTGCATAGGCCCCACTGTGAAAATCTGGAAATGGAAGCATTAGGATAATAAACCAACAGAATCTCCCCAAAGAGGTTTATTTCATGCTTTGTCAAGGATACTAGCAGCACAGCTTTGACAGACCCCAAAAGATAAAACCATGCATCAATTAAACTTTTTGCAGAAATGTAGGTGTAGAGTCTTACACCAGGGTGAAGAGAGCATAGAGCACTGTAAAGCCATTTGCATCAGCCACATGATTGGAGATCTGCTTATTGTTCATATGAATATCCATTTTATACTCTGATGTATTTCTGGTTTGCATTCAACCAATTCTGGTAAAAGTATTGGTATATTTGCTGATGAAGGTTCTCAGTCATCCAGGTCAAAGTCATTCACTCACTGTGGATCCAGACATTTGAATTGAGAAAGCTTCCTGGAGAGGTGGGCGAAACGTTTTCAAATCTTGAAAACCAAGTCCAGTGGATATTTTTTGGATTTTTACGGAATATTGGTATATTTCCATTTTTACTGAACAAAAAGACTGACTGTCAGCCACATGATTCTAAATTAGGCTCTCAGGGGTTGTAAATCATAAACCTGGAAACTACCTTTAATGATAAAACCATCCTTTATTATTTTAGCAGTATATTTTACTTTTTTACCAAATCCTAGTAGACAATAGTTTGTATTTTGGGGTGTTGAGGACCAGGTTGTTTATTATTTAATTTAAGATCAATCACATGCATTTACTTGATAAGATGGGTATCTCATCTCTGTTGCAAAGAAACACACTTTCAGAAAGAACAAATTATCTGCCGCTCAGTTTGTTTCCTTTTGTAATTAAGTTTGTGGAGATAAAAAGTCCTTGTTTTAACTGGGGATCATTAATTGTTTTTTTTTTATATGGAACAAACATTAAAATATTTACTCTGCTTCTCCTTGAAGGTATAAAGGCAGATTTTGCATATCTACTCTATAATGAGAATATTTTACTGATAAGGATGTTAGGGGAGGAAAAGAAACCATGACAACTGTATTAGAGGAAGAAATTTTGTTTTTTTCTGAGTGTATGTCTAGGATATTACATCATGTTGACCAGAGGTTTTAATGGAGGTTGAAATGATGGGCAGTTTGTGTTTTGCTTAATTTTTCTTTCAATTGCTATTCATGGGAGCAGTACAAACAATGAGCAGTAAAATGTTACTGGAGACCACAACAGAAGGACAAAATAAATACTGGAATCAATAGGAATACACAATTTTGCATAGTTCTGGTTTTATGGTTTTTGATTCAGAATTACAAAAAAAGAAAAAAGCTACCCAGTGCTTTAAACCACTCACAATATTATTTCCTCTTTTTAGCCATGAGTGGTGTGCCACAGCTGAATGTTGAGGATATCACAGAGTCTTCTGCCACTTTGATTTGGACTCACCCTTCTGTTCAATATGAGACCTATTACATCACCTTTACCAGCCTGGTAAGCTCCCAACATTTTTCACATTACAATGCATGTTTGTTGTATATAAAAGACTCTTGATCATTTCTATCCTGCAAAATTGAATGGAAACTCTGGATGGAAAGCGTTGCAGGTCTGGGTGTGTAGCAGCCTTAACGATCCAACGAAGTTTTACTCTACACTGTTTTTATAAGAAATTCCTACTTGACATTAAATTGGCTTAATATAAGATGCATCAAATAATATACAACATCCAGGTCACATTCCTTCTCAATAAACAGGCCCTAACCCTAGCTTAGACCGCCAAGAAGTACATTTAGACAAATTAGCAAAATTAAAATTTCATCCTTAGTAGAAAACATTTTCATTAATTATGCATCATTTAGTACAGTAAGTAAATTATTCATGTTTAAAAGTTTAAAAAATATAGCACAATATGAAATTGTGAATTTGCATTTTTTTGTTACTGGAGTTTTAAACACTTAGGGTACAAGTAATGTCTAAAATTGAATATTTGTACCCAACCGCTTTTACTCTGATACCTTTAAACAAAGTCAACAGTCACATATTGACATTAATGACTAAGTAAATAGAGTCCACCTAGTGGAGGTTTTGATATTGTTGGTATAAGCTGTTACCCAGGACAGCAACAGAGAGATAGATTACAGGTGCAATAACAAATTATTTCCTTGACAGTTAGTGTTTTGAGAAGGTTCTGTTTCTTTTATGCATGTTCTGTCAAATGGAAGTTGAAGAGTTGGTGTCTACAGCTTGCTGCTGAGAAAGTTATTTATTTTGGAGCGGACTATATTCTATCCTGCACTGATATGTTCGAATATTCCATGCATTCCAATTGGTTGGAGAAATAGCAGAGGGAGCGGCTCACCTAGGACACAGAAAACACCACTAAGTCCTAATGTTTGGACCCTATTTACAAAGTACTTGGCTTTAAATATCTCTAAGAAAATGTGTTGATTTAACATCAGAAAATAGACCATGTGTTGTGTAACTGCAAAGCTACAAAAACACGATGAACCATCTAAACAGGCAGGAAAAGCAAAGTGGGTATAATTCAAAAAGAAAGTTCAGCTGTGGTTAAACTGAAGTTTCAACTCAGGATAGAGAATCTGTTGTTAAACATTTATTATTTGTGCTCTAGAAAAGGTCCCAGAAAAACTGATGCAAACATTAAAAATTTGCGACAAACCATGTAGCAAATGTAGACATGAGAAAAAAGGGTAATCTGATCCCATGAGACAAACATTTAGTCAAATAAGCTAAAGGAATATTTTTAAAGAAACTGAACAATCTGCAGTTTTAAAAGCAGATAACTCAGAGGCCAGAGCAAATAAGATAGACTTTACTGCTCTAACAGTGGAGAATCACATTGGCTAAATAGACAAATATATATATATATATATATATATACATACAGCTGAAGTCTCTTATTCAACAGGATTATTGCACAGGCTATTACACAGTATATTAAATAGTGATTGCATATTAGTTATTGCAGTTGTAGTATCGCATTGTAGAGTCTGGTTGCAGCAGGGATGAATGACCTACAGTAGCACTCCTTTTTACAAACCGGGTGTATGATCTTTCACCAAAGAGGCTGCTCAGCTCCTCTACAGTCTGGTGCAGGTGTTGAGAGGTGTTGTCCATGATGGATGTAAGCTTGGATAGCACCCTTCTCTCAGCCACTTTATCCACTAAGTCCTCTAGAGTGCAGCCCAGGACAGAAGTGGCCCTTTTTGAGTATTAATAACTTCAGGTTACAGTAAGATTTCATGGGGGTACAATTCTCTGATATATTTGCAAATGTTGTGTTTTGATGACAAAATCTTGCAGCTCTGACTGGAAATGACCTTAGAGTAAACATAATAAACAAACAGTTGCAAAAAGATGTTATTTTTAAAACCTATAAAGCCTTTAGTAGCTTTGTTTAAATAACTACCACATGACACACCTATTTCATATCGAATTACAGCAGAATATTGGCACAGGTTCTTTTCCTGGATTCATTTTTACGCCATTGTCATGGATTTATCAGAAAATTATTTTCTAATCTAATTCCAATGTTACTGTATTTACATAACTGCAATTCTGAGAATTGCTTGATTTTTTTTCTTTCATTTTTTATAACTTACAGTTGTTTGCTAATAAAAAAAGGTGGAATCATCTGGAAATTGAAGCAACCAAAAGTAAAAAAAAAACACAACAAATACAAAATCCTTCCAGAATTTCCACAATTTATTGAATAGGCAAAAAGGGTTTTTTTTGCCTGCTGTCCCTACTTCTAATTCATTTTGGCTTCATGTTTAAGCCAACAGCAGATTGCTTTTATTTCCAGGAGGACACATGCTGCATAGAGAACACCTGTGCCAGAGACTAACACCTCATTTTGCTCTTTAAAACATATGTTGCATTTCCTCCTTCTCCAACCAGACTTGAGGACATTTCCTTTCCCTCATAGGAACCCTTTCTAAGATTCAGCATGCAAAAGGGATGTTTTTTGGTGATATAGTTGGCAGCTCAAACACCATCAAACCATCTGCTGCTCTGGTTGTACAGGGAAACACAAACGTAAACATAGCAACAGAGACACTGTGGGATGAATCAGCTCAGTCTGCTGCTAAGGTTCACCAACAAGACAGACCAATACTGCTCCTCTTTTCCTCTTTTAGGGATATTATAACCCTGCTATTATAGCTGGAACAGTAGCAGATATATAAGCTTCACTTGATTTATTTAATTGATCAAATGGACTATTTATGTAAGGCCCATAAAAATGTAGCTAATTCATATATGTGTTGTAAAAATAAGATAAAAATAAGCCATTTCACTTTGATAAATATCATTTTAGAATATGGAATCCTTTTCTGTCCATTCTGTAAGTCATTTTAAATCTGCAGGAACATACAATACTTCCAATCCAGCAAACTGTGCATATAATTTGTAAAGCCTTAAAAAACTCACAATATAATTGAAATTACATTAAATAGTCAAAGGAGACTAACTCCACTGCGGCATTCAGATGGTCGGAATTTTTTGTGAGAAATGAAAACTAGTGGTGGGCGTATAATAATGTGTGAGTTTTTTTTTTTCTATAAACAAATCAGTGTTTTATTAAGCCCTATTCATTTAAAGTACAGTTCCATTATGAACACAGTGTATCCATCTTCTGTTGGATACTTACAGCTGAATGAGGCATCATGTAGCAAAGCTCAATCTTTGTTCAATTGTATTTGTACATCCCGATAATTTCAGTTTATTTTAATGGCCCACATCTGACTCTATCAGAGCAAAACTGGGATGTGACTAAAGGAGAGATTCCCAATACCAATGTCTTGCCAACATATCTGCAATAGTTCAGACTGATGATGAGGGAGGTATTCTCTTGGCACACTTTGTGGCAACACACACCCCAGCTTGGCAAAGTGAGTTCTTACCAGATAGTGGAAAGAAATAAGTACCTTTAAAGTGGCTGATGAAGATCAAGAATAGAATATATTGCAGTTACATTTCTGCTTTGATTTTTTAACAAAAAATAATAGCACAATATTTTTAGAGGATCAAGATCTCTGCACAATCAGGTACTGTCTGTTTCTTACTTAAAGGTATAGAGGAATAAATAAATAGGTGGTCCTCCTAATTGCATCATTCTGGTGAGATGTTTACGTAAGGCCGTCCTACTCACTCGTCCCTTTAGCTATAATTGTGGTGAGCTACATTTTCAGATAGTCACTGAAGCTCACCTTTCTCCCCGCGATTCTTTAAAAATGGCCCAGGGTCGTCAAAGTGTTTAAGAAGTGTATAAGAAGAAAATAAATGCCCCAGAAGAGGCAGATATAATCGGAATGCTTTGCACGGTGAGCTCTCCTCGAAAATCAATTTGGAATTTGCTGTCACACCAGCCTGCTGTCGCTACCCGACAGCGGTGACTAATAACAAAGATGGCGCAGGCATCGTGCGGAGAAGGAGGAGTTACGTGACCAATTGGGAGCAAAAAGTAGTGATCATCTGTCCAAACAGTCAGTTATATAGTCCCGGCTATATATAGTGATTGAGGGATTTAGGGGTTAGGGCGGACGTCCGGGCACAGAAAGCTTGTATGAGCTATCAGACAAAACTTTTAAACAGAGTGTGCATAAGGAGAAATGGGCTTGTGCATGCTCTCTCACGCCTTTAACAGGCATTACGTCTCGGGAGCGGGTACAGGGTTGTTCATGTGCATTTTTTTTTTAAAGTAGAGAGGGCAGGTCTTTTAAGAAATTCCAGAAAATCCTCTACAAGACCTTTGAATCTTCAGTAAAAGACCCCAATTTATGCTTTGCTGTTTCCCATCCAGAAAGTTCTCACAGGTTCCCACGCATTTTTGTTGCCATAGCAGCCTATTACTTCAGGGGTTTGTCTGTTTTATAAAGTTTTGACATCTGGTTTCACATACATTTCCAAGGACAAATGTGGAGGAGGACATTTCCGGCGCGTTTCCGAAACTCCTTTTCTTTTACATAGTCAAGGTATCTTTTGCAAAGGCTGTAAACATTACAAACATGATATTGGTACAGTGACCCTCACTGTTGTTTTTATATATCAGTTTGGAGTCAGCTTTAAATGCTGCATCAGATACATAATAACTTCTTATTCAGCTGTTCTCCAGCTTGTTCACAAGAATGTGTCGTTGATCTACTGCAGAGGACAGCTAAGTAGTGGAAAGTTACCGATTGCATTGGTATTTGTCAGAAATGTTTTGCGGAGAAACTGAAACGGAGAAGGGAACCAAACAGAGATACAGCTTTTTAACCTCACTCTCTAAATTATTTAAATTTAAAACTGTCACCGAGATGAAAAGAGAGCCACTCACTGTTTTAGATTACAGAGAGCAATCTGGACAGTTTACCACCTCACTGCACATGCTATTTCCTTTTGATCATTTTTCCCTTCGCACTACATGTCACAGTGAGTGTCATTTATCGTAATTACTTTCAACAGGACATTGATCTGTCCAGCAATGACTT